CAGTTCCACCTGGCGACAAAATTCCAACACAAGGATACAAAGCAGTTTTCAAATCTCGGAATGCAATTCCTTAAAATTAAAATAACCAAGAATTTGTAATATACCTAGATTCACTCCGTTTCTTGTATAAAATACCGTATTATTTCTTATATTTAAACTACATCCGATAGTATCACCGGTCATAAATTTTGGTTCATATGGTTCACACTCTTTGTTAAAATGCATTTGTCCATCATCATCATGATAACCCCACGAGCTATCTTCCCAGCCTGCAGTATAAAATATAAATAATTCATAAATAATTTATTAACAAAATAAGTTGATAAAAAGAATAGTAAAGTTACCTGGCATTTTATTTAGGCTAGCTGATTTTATACAAAACCCGATTCCAATCCCCCTATTTATTTGAAAAATTGAATTATCGGAAAAGCTTAAATAATCAACTTATATATAACAGAAAAAAACAGTATTCCAAAGTTTACAAAATACCCATTTTCCCCTTTATCTATAATGTCAACTTCAAAATAAAATAAGCCACATTGTTCAGCAATTGGAAAATTTGCTCGAATTGCAGCACAGTTTCTTTTTCCACCCAGACCTTTATATTTGAAAATAATTGTAGTTATGCAAGAATAAGTGATTCCATACGAAAACAGTAAAATATAATTGTTATACAACATGAAATATCCTAAACTCACCTGTATAAGTCACTATAAGCTTGTCAGAACTAAATTTTAAAAGGCTACGACCATCTTTAATATCCCATGCGGTTGGTGACCCTATTAGAATGAATGATAATAGAGTTTGTTTAATGTATTGTATGCTTTTAAATATGTTGCGAGGTTAATTAAGTAATTTTAAAAAAAACAGATAGAATAATCTATCAATTTTATTTTATTTTAGAAAAAAATTAAATTATTATTCGACTTAAAAACAAATAATGTCCATTACCATCTAGTTCTTTTAATGAAAGAGCAGCAGAAGAATCAGAAACTGGCTCTATTATAATGTATTTATTTGAGAAAATTCGAAATGAATTAATGATATGAGAGCTTTGCTATTAAAAGTGGGTTCCGAGACTATGAATTGATTTTGAGTAAATGGATGATCAAAAAATAGTTACGCCACAATAAACATACTTGTCCAATAAAAAATTGCTCT